GGAATTCTGTCGACCACACATGCACGAAAAACAGTTGAAACCCCATTTACAATGCGGAACCGATCCGAGAATGATCCGAGCATGATCCGAGGATGATCCGACCACACACGAGACCGTCTCGCACCCGTCGCACCGCAGAGGTAGATCATCGACGTTCGGGGACGGACTTTGTATGGAAAAACATAGGGTTTCGTGCATCTACTATCTCTCAAAAACGCATTTCGTGCGAGACTTCCTCCAAAACTCCATCGGCCACTCCTCCACCAGCACCACTTGCAATCCCATTTACAGTGAGGGAACAATTTCTTTGCTAACTCTTTCTGTGACTAACTCTTTCCCTCACTAACTCTTTCTTTGACTAACTCTTTCCCTGACTAACTGTTTCTTTGCTAACTCTTTCTTTGACTATCTCATATATCCTGACTAACTCTTTCTTTGACTAACTCTTTCCCTCACTAACTCTTTCTTTGACTGACTCTTTCCCTCACTAACTCTTTCTTTGACTAACTCTTTCCCTCACTAACTCTTTCTTTGACTAACTCTTTTCCTGACTAACTGTTTCTTTGACTAACTCTTTCTTTGACTAACTCTTTCCCTGACGAACTCTTTCTTTGCTAACTCTTTCTGTGACTAACTGTTTCTTTGCTAACTCTTTCTTTGAATAACTCTTTCCCTCACTAACTCTTTCTTTGACTAACTCTTTCCCTCACTAACTCTTTCTTTGACTAACTCTTTCCCTGACTAACTGTTTCTTTGCTAACTCTTTCTTTGGCTAACTCTTTCCCTCACTAACTCTTTCTTTGACTAACTCTTTCCCTGACTAACTGTTTCTTTGCTAACTCTTTCTTTGACTAACTCTTTCCCTCACTAACTCTTTCTTTGACTAACTCTTTCCCTGACTAACTGTTTCTTTGCCAACTCTTTCTTTGACTAACTCTTTCCCTCACTAACTCTTTCTTTGACTAACTCTTTCCCTGACTAACTGTTTCTTTGCTAACTCTTTCTTTGACTAACTCTTTCCCTCACTAACTCTTTCTTTGACTAACTCTTTCCCTCACTAACTCTTTCCCTGACGAACTGTTTCCCTCACTAACTCTTTCTTTGACTAACTCTTTCCCTGACTAACTGTTTCTTTGACTAACTCTTTCTTTGACTAACTCTTTCCCTGACGAACTCTTTCTTTGCTAACTCATTCTGTGACTAACTCTTTCCCTCACTAACTCTTTCTTTGACTAACTCTGTCCCTCACTAACTCTTTCTTTGACTAACTCTTTCCCTGACTAACTGTTTCTTTGCTAACTCATGCTAACTCTTTCTTTGACTAACTCTTTCCCTCACTAACTCTTTCTTTTGACTAACTCTTTCCCTGACGAACTCTTTCTTTGCTAACTCTTTCTTTGACTAACTCTTTCCCTGACATTCTAAAAGTCCGTAACACGGAAGTTTCTCCCCCTAAACTTCCTTTGATAACCATAATCATTATCATTATACCCCCATTTTTCGTGTGGTGTCACACCAGTTTGATCCATTTTTCGTGGCCGGTTAGTAGGACATCTTAGACAACCTGCCTGAAAAACGACCATGAAAAACGAGCATGAAAACCAGTAGCTTTAGCCACTCAAAAATCACCAGCCAAATCCTGATCATCTGACAATCATCTAGCAAATCACTGTATTTTCCTTGTGAATCCCTGACTTTTTCTTAAACTTCGGTGAAATCCCACCTTTTTCCCCACCTTTTCCCGGTGAACACCCACGTTCCACCCGAGTGGCAACGCAGCACCAGGAGCCTCCAAGGGATGTCGGAACGGCAAGCCCCGAGGCTCGCCAGCCTCGATGTTTATGGGGCTTCGTGGGCTTCGTGGCCGCCAATTCACCAAGGAAAATATCAGATATTTATATATATATATATTATATTATAAATATACAATATAGTGATAAAATATAGTGATTATCTAATATAATATAGTATAATAAATATAAGATCATCTTATATAATATAACTGGTTGGTGGTTGAGCCAGCCCTCTGAAAAATATGAAAGTCAGTTGGGGTTACTTTTCCCAATATATATATATATATATATATATGTATTATGTATATGTACACTCTGTACACTTAGCCGTCGTTTCTGGTATTCCAAAAAAATCAGGGCCACATCCCGTCATAGTGTTGGTCATGAAAACTGCCATCTCCTGTTAAAAGAATGAAGTACCTTACTTCACTAAGATGCTTTAATATCAAACATAGTCGGCATCTCTGGTTTAGGAGAACCTTTGACTCATACTCGGGGGTGCAGTTGGAGTTATGAATAGATATAGCTGATATAATCATGGCAATAAACCTAGAAGTTGAGATATAATTCCTATTACTAGCCTATAACTACAGTATGTTGGCATATCTCCTTGTAACTACAACTGCGCCCCAAGTAGCAAATCCAAGTCAATTGGCTGATGACATCGAGACTGGAGGAAGCTTCATAACAAAACCAGCCCGCAGATCCTGTCTAGTTTCACTTGAATTTCACACAACGAACGGGACCAGACGGGGAAAAGTTCAGAGGTCAAAGAACTCTACCCAGCAACTGACTCCTAGCTACCAAAGCCACATCACCTTTTAGAGAATGGGAAATCATCAGCAATGATTAACCACATTGGGTTGTTGTTGGTGTGATTTTGTCAAAAAGAGAAACGTTTTTACTCAGTTGGCCAAAGGGTTCCCACATCACTGCGATCTCTTTGGTCAGACGCACATGACTTCCACTCCCCAAAACATCATTTTGGCTAATCTGGTTGATATCCCACGAAAAAAATCAAGCTTTCCGCTGGCTATGGTTTGTAATGATCTACAATATGTATGTATGTATGTATGTATGTATGTATGTATGTATGTATGTATGTATGTATGTATGTATGTATGTATGTATGTATGTATGTATGTATGTACCTATGTATGTATGTACCTATGTATGTATGTATGTATGTATGTATGTATGTATGTATGTATGTATGTATGTATGTATGTATGTGTGACTAAATAAATATATATATATTATGATGGTATATACGTGATAAGTAATACTATGTATAAGCATATACGTGTGTGTGTGATAATGTATGTATATATATATATATATGAGAGAGAATGTCTATGTATACATGATAATGTTTATATATATATATGAAGATGTATATATATATATGTGATAATGTGTAGATATAAACATATGTATGAAAATATGTATATATAAATATGCTAATGTGTATGTATATATATACATATGTGGTGATGACGATGACGATGACGATGACGATGACGATGACGAGGATGATGATGATGATGATGATGATGATGATGATGTGTATATGTGTGTGCTAATATGCGTGTATATATACACGATATATATATATATATATGTATATATGTATATATATGAAAATACATACTATATATGATGTAATGTGTATTTATATATATATACATGATATATTTATATATGTATATATATATACGTATATATTTCTATATCTGTCCCTATTCGTAGAAAACACTTGAAGCCACCGTGGTAGTATCTGATGTCAACCATGGATAGATTAAGCCAAACTACTCATTTGGGTTTACCACCAAAATAATTTCTGCGTGACAATCAGAATTGCTATCCCCACTATCTCTCAAAACTGGTTTAGGATTGGGGTACCACTCTTTGTAGTATTAAATCCTAATACTAATTGGTACAATCAGGGGGGTGCCAATCAGTAATTATAAGGGATAATACTGGATTAATATGGATTAATTGGGTTGTTGAATATTAATAATTGTTACTATTGGGTAGATACAAAGAACCGCGGTAGTCAAACATCACATGCCAATTTGCCAACAGAAAATCCTCCATTTAGTTTTTAGGGGCCCTTTTTCGAGCCAGTTCGATGTGGCTGACTACCAGGGGCCTTCTCCATCGTCCCAGAAAATCGCGTCATAGTGGGTTCAATAGGGCTTCATCATTGGCTCAGCCAGACAACCATTCGCTCCCCATGACATCCCCAAAAAAAGTTCCATTTGACATGGTTAATTCCCCATGATCTACCCTCCAGTAAACTAACATGGAAAATCCTCGAATCAAATCTCGCAAAGCCGTCATTACCAGAGGGTTTGCATCCCAATAAAATGGAACTATCCATGATAGTCATGAGGTATTAACAGAATAGTCATTTATTGGGAAATATTGGTATCCCAATCTTAGGTAGATCACAATTCAAAATTAATTCATTACATATAAATCCCAATATGTCCCGAATTGTATCATATATTATCATATTCTTTTCCCATGATATTCCCAATCTTACAACTAGGCCTGCCTGGTGATGTTGCTCATTCTTCACCTCTCTTAACTATATCTGGGTTTCCTAAGTCATGGGGGATCCCCAGTCGTCACCATGGGTGCATGCAGTATACTAAGTCGTGGTCATCCGTGACGACTGGATGATTATGGATGATTTGGGGTACCCCATGAGTTTCCGAATGATAAATGCCATTAATGTTCTACCATAAACCACGGTTAAATCATCGAATGAATCCCCCATCCCAAACCCATTTTTGATGGTGAAATCCCAAATGCTGATGCTTAAACCAGACGTGAGGCCCCTCCTCCTGGTTGGTGGTTTTTCGCCTACCCCTCTGAAAAATGATGGAATTCGTCAGATTGGATCATCATCCCAACTAATTATTGGGGAAGTCATAAAATTCCATGGTTCCAGTCAGCACCAACCAGCCAATTATTTTGTACCATGATGGTCATAATATGTCATAATGCCATTCCTGTCATTGCTATTGAAATAGTAGCCCTGTTATGGACAGGCTGATCCGGGATGACCATTTCGATTTCGTGGCCACCTTGTAGAATCTTCCCACTTGGTGGCGGCTTATCCCATATGGTTTTTGTTAGGGAAAATCCATCAATGGATAACTTACCGGGTACCCGACTTGTCGGATACCACCTTTTTTTCCAGTGGCTACCCGCTTTCCTTTCAGATCTGCGGCAGGATCTCCTGGCTTTTTGCTACGTGGCCGACTTGTGGCACTCCTCAGCCAACAGCACATCAGTCGAAAGGATCAACTTCCCCACCGCGAAGCGCACCACAGAATTCGCCAGGGCATACGATGAACGGCCAACCGGCAGAGGTTTCAGGGGCACTCCTGGCACCATGAATCTGGAGATTGTCTACAAGTTTTGTAGGACATTCGCAACATGATCAGTATTTCTTCTTATTTTGTGTGTTATGACATGTGCGTGGCGTAAATTTGGGGATATATATGTGCTAATACCCTCTGGTAAACTGTCACCAAACTATGGAAAATCACCATGCTATTAATGGGTAAATCCACTATTTCTACGGCCATGGCTTCAATAGCTTTTTGTATGTTTACCAGGCCGGGTATTCACCATGTTGGTGAACCAACTATCGCCAACCAAGAGTTGGACATGGACATCTGACAGGACTGTTTGATTTACTCGCCATTCGGAAAGACGCGCTTGGTGGATTTAGTGGTTCTATGTGTACCTGGAATTGTGCGCTTGCGGCTACCGCACATGTATAACTATAATTATAATTATAACATCTGGTCATTTAACATAGCCATGGAAATCACCATTTTTAATAGGTAAACCATCTATTTTTATGGGCCATGTTCCATGGCTATGGCTATGTTAAATAACCAGAGGGTAGGTCTTATTGTACCCAACTTATAGGGGGGGTACAGCAACGATACGCATCGATACCAACTGCGGCGAAACATCAATTTTTTGTCTGCACCCGGTCCTAGAAATGCCATCCAGTGAATCCATTGTGAATTCATTGGTCAACAGTTGCGAAAAAGCATTCTTAAAACCATCCCCAATTTACCCCAAGTCTCCTTGTGGTATTCTACACCCCCAAGTCCACCAAAACCTTCATGGTGGGCGTTCCCATCTGTCATGGACAAACAAAACCTTCAAAAAAAAATATGGTTAAACTCCATATGATATCATATAATATCATATGATATCACATGATATCCAGATCCAACCAGATCCAACCAGATCCTCTGGAAAGATGTGAGTTGATCATATTCTCCAGCGGCTTCAGCAGCAGCGGCATTAAGATGTTCAAAGACAGGGCCGTGGCCACCCAGGAGTCATCTTGCGTTTTGGTCACATCGATCCAGCTCACCTCATGGAGGATCATGGAGGTTGCTGGGGCTGGGCGATTAAAATTCACTGCAAAAACCGGTGATTTCAATGCGAGATTGATGAGAAACTTGTGGATTTAGGGGTATTCGATGTGGTAAAGCCGTAAAACAAAAAGAAAAACATCAGACTTGTTTGGCTACACTGCATCCAGCTCACATCCAAGGATGCCAGATGTCCGGTCAACAACTGTTGACATCCAGCCCCATCAATGGACGTATCGAAGGCAGCATGAGCTGTGAGATTGATCCGCCACAAGAACTCGGAAAAGTCCGAAGTCTTGTTGTCCTCCAGGGTTTCAAATTGGGCACCAACATGTCTGGTCAGAAATCAGCAAAAATGAGGTTTCGATTGCTGATTTTGATGATGAAAAAATAAGGCAGACCCCAACAATGCTGACAATCCGTGGGGTTCGGGGGCGCTTTTTTCTTCAGACAAACCCAAAAAGAAATTGGATTGAAACCCACCTGAAATGGTTCTCGTTTTTGTCGTGAATCTGGCAGTGATGTGGCGCCATCATAAATTAAATGGGAAGATCATTAGCTGGGGATGTGAAGCAATGAACAGAGGGTTCGTGGTGTCCATCATAAGCCTCAAGCCTCTGAAGGTTTAAATCATAATTAAATCCCAGTAAAATGATGGAATACTTTCAGCTGTCAAATGATTTTCAGATAACTTTCAATTTCCCAAATTGGTCCCTTGTTTTTGTGCAGTTTTCCGATGATCTTCCACCTAAAAATCATCCGAAACAGTCATTCTCCTTCTTAAGTCAAAAACCAAATTGTATCCTATTGTTTCCCTATTTTCCCTTGTTATTTCATGCTATTTCCCTATTATTTTCCTATTTTGTCCCCATTATGTCCCTAGTCAAATTTCCGACTTATGGACAAATGCAGTTACAGTGGTGAGAGAACAGTGGTAACAGCAGCAAAGAAGAGAAAGAGTCAGAAGAAAGAAGATCAAGGCGCGCGAAAAGGTAGAAAAGTCGCGAAACAAAGCTCGCTAAAGCGGCGGGTGCGGAGGCATCTGGCGGTGAGAGATCAAAAAGTGCACGCCGCTGTGACGCGAAGCGCGTTTCGAAACCAAGAGCTCAAAAACACCGTGGTCTCGGATCACTTTTGGACGATGAGATCTCGAAAGAGCGCACGCGATTGTGGTGCAAAGCACATTTGGACGTCAAAATGAGCAAAACACCTGAGTGTCGGAGCACTCTTGGAAGTTGAGATGTTCAAAAAGTGCATGCCGCCGTCAAAAACACTTCAGGTTCAGACCCCTTTTGGGAAGTAAGAAGTTGAAAAAACGCACGCAGCTTTGGCGCGAAGCACGTTTCAATCTTAAAATTGTCAAAACGCCACATGTTCGGACCACGGTTGGACGTTCAAGCATCATTTTGTGTGGCAGGCGCAATGGAAACCTATGGATTTTGAAGCATTTTAAAAACGATGGCATGCGTAGGACGTTCGAAGAGCTTCTGCAAAGATACATTGTGTCGCGTGGCAGGCGCAGTAGAGACATCTCCATCTATATACAACAACCGACAACCACAACTACAACGACAACGACACTACACTACAGATACAACTACAACTACAAATGCCCTACACCACACTAGAGTACAGTACAGTACGCTACATTACAGTACACCACACTAAATTACAGTACACGACACTACACTACACCACACCACTCGACACGACACAACATGCACTACACTACGCTACAAACACACTACGCTACGCTACACTACAGTAGATTACGCTACATTGCACTACACTACACTACACTATCTACACTACAACCACGCCCCATTACACAACTGCAACTACACTACGCTACAACTACAACTGCAACTGCATTACACCACACTACGCTGCATTAAACTACACTACACTACTTTAGACTACAACTACAACTCCACTACATCCAGCAGTTGTGCATCTAGTGGCCACTGAACTCACTCCAAACAGCACAACTCCAACCACCTTTCGGTCCATCACTGGGTTCGCTCTGCCATCCACGCATCACAACAACTCACCTCTCCTATAGTTGTCTATCTTTGCAACTTCCGCCACCGCCTTGTGCGGTACTACTGGTATTTCCCTATTATGTCCCTGCTATTTCCCTGGAATTCTCTATTGTGTCCGTATTATTTCCCTATTTTGTCCCTATAGTTTCCCGAACATTCCCCCCTTATTCTCCTATTATTTGCATATTATTTCCCTACTACCTCTCTGTTTTTCCTAATATATCCTTATTATTTCTCTAGTAGTTCCCTAATATGTCCTATTATGTTCCTGCTATTTCCGAGAATTTCCCATTGTTTACCTGTCTTTTCCCTAGTTTGTCCTTGTTGGTGCCATATGATTTCCCTATTTGTCCCTATGTGTTCCCTATTAAATACCTAATATGTCCCAATGTTCCCTATGTTTCATGTTTTTCCCACAATTATGCCCCTATCATGTCCTTCTGTTGTGCCTACTATTTACCTATTATGTCCCTAGAATGTCCCTAGTGTTTCCTTATTTGTTCCAATTATGTCCTTGTTGTTTCCCAATGTTTTCGCTATAATTTCCCTAGTTTGTCCCTAGTGTTTCCTTGTTATGTCCCTATTATCCCCCTATTATTTCCACAGTATTTCCTAAAAAGTTTCCCTCTTATGTCGCTTTCATGTCCCTAATATGTCCCATTATTCCCCTGTTATTTTCTCGGTATTTCATCATGTCCCTATTATTTCCCTACTATGCTGTATGGTGTCCCCATTATTTCTTTATTAGTTCCTTTGTATGTCCCAAGTCTTCCCTTTTTTCCTATGATTTTCCTATTCTGTCCTATGGGTTCCCTATGTCCCTACTATTTATCTACGTTTTAAGTAGTTTCCTCTTCTTTAAACCGTTATCGCCCTACTATTTGTTGCCGTATTTTTTCCCCTATCATTTCCCTACTGATTCCTCATTATTCCCTATTGGTTCCCTATTATTTTCTCAAGATTTGTTCCGATTATGTCCTTATTATTTCCCCATTACCTACCCTTTGTTTGCCTAGTATTCCCTTACTTTTCCTATTATCTCCCTATTATTCTCCTTTTGGTTGCCTGCTCTTTTCTTGTTATTTCCCTATGATTTCCGTGTTTTCATCATTTTCCTACCATTTCCCTATTATTTCCCGATTAGTTCCCTAGTATTTCCCTATTTTTCGTTTTTATTTCCCTATGGTGTCTCTATTGCTTTCCCGGTGGTGTCCCTATGTCCGTATTATTTCCCTATTGTCTCCCTATGAATTCCATATGAATTCCATATTAGTTCCTCATTATTTCCTTATTCCTCTATTGTTTTCACATTAATTATTTCCGTGTTATTTCCAATTGTTCCTTATTATTTCCTGAAGATGTCTTTATTATTTCCCTATGACATCCTGAATTATGTCCCCTGATTTTCCACCCCAAAATTCTCCTTCTGAAGTCGAAAATCCACCGAGAGCGGCACGTGAATCCGCAGCTCCTCCTGCATCTCCACGTGTGGAACACCCGCAGTTTGGATCAAGGCCTCAACGCCGCAAGGGCTCCAAACCTCGATCCAGTTGGTGCCGTTGGTGCCGTTGGCGAAGCAGCCCAAAAATAGAACTAGACGACGGATGGCCCGAGAGCGTAGAGGAGCAGGGTCTTCTCTTGTTAGTATGGAGACACCATATTACAAAACATTATATTAAAGATGTGTTATAGGCAGTCGAGAAGACTAGTAACAAGACAATATAGCACAAGTACACGACAATAGTTTGCATCGCAAACACTTTTACACACAGAAGCTTTTACACACAGACGCTTTTACACGCAAAAGCTTTTACACACAGACGCTTTTACACGCAGCAGCTTTTACACACAAAAGCTTTCACATACAGAAGCTTTTACAGACAGACACTTTCACACACAGACCCTTTTACACACAGACGCTTGTACACACAAAGCTTTTACCCACAGAAGCTTTTACAGACAGAAGCTTTTACACACAGACGCTTTTACACAGACGCTCTTACACACAGACACTCTTACACACAGACGCTTTTTCACACAGACACTTTTAACAAAGACCCTTTTACACACAGGAGCTTTTACACACAGAAGCGTTTACACACAGACACGTTTAACAAAGACCCTTTTACACACAGGAGCTTTTACACACAGAAGCGTTTACACGCAAACACTTTCACACACAAAAGCTTTTACACACAGAAGCTTTTACACATAGACACTTTTACACACAGAAACTTTTACACACAAGCGCTTTTACACACAATCACTTTTACACAGACAGACGCTTTTACACACAGAAGCTTTTACACACAGACGCTTTTACACATAGGCCGGCCCATGTTTTCCCAGCAAAGTCATCGTCGTCGTGGCCACCTCAGCAATCCGACGGGGGGGTGAATCAAATGATCTGTCTCGAAACCAGCATGTATAAACATGTCATGAGGGCTGTGTGCTTTGGGGCTCCCCAACCAAGGTGTTTTGCCATCTCCCTCAAAAAAGTATAAACGGGCGGACCTGGCAGGCGGCGAACGTTTTTGGGCTGGGACAAGCACAGTATTACAATATGATATAATGGGATGGCCCTTGTGCTCCTTTCCATGTGCTTTTTAAGTTTAGGGTCCTGACTCCGGACTGTGACTTGAATTGAAACTCTTATCTTAACATTCATACCATGTATTTGTGCCATGTATGCACATATTACAATATGATATAATGGGATGGCCCTTGCGCTCCTTTCCATGTGCTTTTTAGGTTTAGGGTCCTGACTCCGGACTGTGACTTGAATTGAAACTCTTATCTTAACATTCATACCATGTATTTGTGCCATGTATTGCTCAGACAGCTCTGGTTGCAATACAAGAATCAAAGTTAAACATCAAATAACTAAGCTGCTCACAAAGGTGTTGACTCACGCCGATGCAGTACGGTGAGACAGGAACCGAAAACAAGTGTGTAATGTCATGACCAAGTGTGACCGAGTGTGTAATGTCATGAACCGAAAACAAACATGCCAAACACTCAACGGAACAAGAAAACACAACATGTAAGCAAGGCCTAAACATGCCAGGGGTGACCGGAAAATAAGCATGCCAAACAATAAACAGGTCAAGCAAACATGCACACGAACGTGTCTGCGCGAAAGAAGATCTGGAAATGCTTGCGGTCATGTTTGCTCGGACAGTTCCGGTAGCAAACAAACAAACATTCGTGCCAACCTCAGCAAGGAAATGTTATGCTAAAGTGTTACCCACAAAGTCCACAATCCAAAAATCAGCGAATCCCAATGTAACTTCATTAATCCATTCATATTTCTGTCAGGGTCAAAGTAAGCATGCCTACTAAGCATGCCAAGCAAACAAGTCAGGACTACGTCAAACTTGCCAGCAAGGCCTGAACATGACAGGGATGACCGGAAAACAAACATGCCAAAGAATCAACGGGGCAAGAAAACAAAACATGTAAGCAAGGCTGCTTTTACACACGCATTGCCGCTGTCACACAGAAACACCTTTTACACAGAAACCCTTCTGCACACACGCCATTTTACACAGAGACGCTTTAACACACAAACCCTTTTACACACAGACACTTTTACACACAAAAGCTTTTACACACAGACACTTCTACACAGATGCACTTCTACACACAAACACTTTTACACACAAACATCTTCACACAGAAACACTCTTACACACAAACCCTTTTACACAGAGACACTTTTACACACAAAAGCTTTTACACACAAACACTTTTACACAGATGCACTTGTACACACAAACACTTTTACACACAAACATCTTTACACAGAAACGCTCGTACACACAAACCCCTTTTCCTGCGAAAGGATTACTCCAGCACACGATAAATCGCAATTTTACCTCAGTTTTTTCCCGATCGACCTTCATTTCGTGCGAAAGGGTTGCTCCAGCACACGAAAAATCGCAATTTTACCTCAGTTTTTGCCGGTCGACCCTCATTTCGTGCGAAAGGGTTGCTCCAGCACACGATAAATCGCAATTTTACCTCAGTTTTTGCCGGTCG